TTTACGCTCTGTTCTTTAATATCTCTCTCTTCTCGGGCATTATCTATTCCGGATTTTGCCTTTCCTTGTTTTGTCATTACCGCCACCGATTCTGTTACTTGGTGATTTTAATGCCCACCATTTCCTCTGGGGGGGGTCTCACTGTGATTCCCGTGGAATTCAGTTAGAGGGTTTTCTTGCCACCCACCCCCTCCATGTTTTAAATACAGGTACTCACACCCATTTTGATCCTCGGACTCATACTCTCTCTTGCATCGATCTCTCAGTTTGCTCTTCCTCCGCCGCATTAGACTTCACTTGGTCTGTTCTCCCGGACTTACATGACAGTGATCATTTCCCAATCATTCTTACTTCCCCTTCATATTCGCCACCCTCTTCGCACCCCACGCTGGCAATTTAATCGGGCAAATTGGAACCTTTACTCACACCTAACTGTTTTTAAAGAGGTTCCTTCTTCATCCTCCATCGATGAGCTTTACACCTCTTCTCGTCCTCCGTTTTCACCGCAGCTTCTCATTCTATACCCAAACTTCGGGCAGGGGATTTTCAAAATGCGTGCCTTGGTGGTCTCCTGCTTGTGCTCGTGCAGTACGTTTGAAACGCGCTGCATGGGGCAGGTACCGGTACAATAGAACCCCAGAGCGACTCCTTGATTTTAAAACAGAAGCGTGCGAAACGCTCGCCGTGTCATCCGTGACGCTAAACGCACTTGCTGGCGAGATTATGTCTCCCCCCATCACCTCTGCTTCCTCTATGAGGGGCAGTCTGGAAAAAAGTACGAAAACTGAGTGGTAAATATTCTCCTGACCCCGGGTCCTGTTCTGCGGGTTGCGGTGTTGATATAGCAAAAACCCCCTAGATGTTGCCAATGAAATTTGGCAATCATCTGGTCCGTATTTCTCAGGGACTCCATCTATGCCCCTCATTTCTTTCTCAAAGTCTGCCAGAGAGTTAGCACCCTTGGACTTTTCTTCTCTCAGAGAAGAACAGTATAATGTGCCTTTTACACTTCAAGAACTGTGAGGCAACACTCTCAGCTTGTCGATCATCGGCAGCTGGGCCCGACGAAAATTCAATTTTGTATGCTACAACATTTACAAACAGTCAGCCCTTGCAGTCCAATTATGCCTTTAACAATCTTATTTGGTCACAAGGAGTTCTTCCACAGCTGTGGAAATCCGCCCCTTGTTCCCCTTTTTCCGCAAACCAGGCACTACGGGACATGAAACCTCCCACTATCGTCCCATTGCTCTTACCAGTGCAGTTTGCAAAGTAATGGAACGCCTAGTAAATAGACGTTTAGTGTGGGATTTAGAGACACCCCACAGTCCTCTCCACTCGTCAATATGGCTTTCGTAAGGGACGTTCTACCATAGACCCCTTACTATGCTTGATACGTATTTTTCGTAATGGCCTTTGCGAATAACCACTCAGTTATTTCCATATTTTTTGACCTTGAGAAGGCATATGACACAACTTGGGGGGTATAATATTTTAGCCCAACCCACTCCTTAGGCCTTCGAAAGGGAATCTACCATCCTTCCTTAAGAACTTTTTAACTGACAGGGATTTCCGTGTTCGGGTTAATAATGTGCTCTCCCCGGACTTTATCCAAGCTGAAGGTGTCCCCCAGGATGTGTTTCTGGCACAACACTTTTTCTCCTTGCTTTAATGATTTGGCCTCTAGTCTTCCATCAAATATTTGGTCATCACTCTATGTTGATGACTTTGCTATTGGCCTGTGCCAGGCGCTGACTGTCACCTCCTACGTTTTCTCTCCCAACTGCATCCCACCGTGTTTTCCAATGGCCACACAACTGGGTTTAAATTTTCCAGCACTTAAAACCCACCAAATCACTTTCACTAACGCTCCCGTCACTCCGATCATCCTTTGTACCTCTATGGCTCCCGTAATCCCGAACGTGTACAATCAAGTTTCTGGCCTCCTCTTTGATAGTAGTTTACCTGGAAACATCACATTACCCTTTTGAAGGCAACTTGTCACAGCCGTGAACCTTCTTTAAAACCTTGCTCATCTTTCGGGGGAGCGGATCGTCAACCCTCCTTCGCCTACATTCCACCCTTATTTTATCGAAACTTTGATTATGGTGACCAATCTATTCAGCGGCATCTCCTGCTACTCTCTCTAGCCTTTCCCCCATTCATCACCAAGGATTATTTTTTGCCTTGGTGCTTTCCCCCTCTTCCCCTGTTGAGAGCCTCTATGCAGAAACGAACGTTCCATCCTTATCCCATCGCCGTGATGCCCATTGGGCCCGCGCTACTATGTACGCTCTCATGATCTCCGCAATCCTTCCATTTATGAATGGTCCCCTGATATTAGTAGACATTCTTTATTTGTTCGACGCCCCTGTTTTACTCCGTCCCTTCTCTCTTCGCCTTCATTCGCTCTTGTCTTCTCTTCAACTACCACCTTTCTATGTACAGTAGCATCCACATTTTCCCCACCCCCTGGGGAAGTTCCAGCTGTTCGAGTCTGTTCTTTCTCCCTCCCTTGCTCGAAAGGGCCCCAAAGTCTTACGGTCGCTTCCCGCTCTCTTTTTCTTGGGCCACTTTCACTTTCATTTTCATGCCATGCTGTGTACACAGATGGCTCTAAGTCTTCTGACGGCGTAGGATTCGCAGCAATGTTTCCGGACAGCGTCGTACAAGGGGATTTTCTATCTTCCCGGCTAGTATTTTTACTTCTGAATTATATGCCATCCTTTCAGCACTTATCCGTATTGCATCTATGCCTGTGTCATCATTTGTGGTTGTCTCAGACTCCCTTAGTGCTTTACAGGCTATACAAAAAATTTTATACACCTCACCCCTTAGTCCTCCGTAAACCAACTTTGGCTATGCCGCATCTTTACCAAGCATAAAGAATTGTTTTTTGTTGGGTCCCTGGTCATGTTGACGTACAGGGCAATGAACAGGCAGACACTGCTGCGCGGGCAGCAGTTTCATGACCTACCAGTTTCTTATAGAGGTATTCCATTTTTCGGACTATTTTGCTGCAATATCTTTTCCCCCTTCACACCCGTTGGCAACAACGTTGGTTTTACTAGCTCGACAACAAACTTCAGTCTATTAAACCGAGTATAGGTTACTGGCCGTCTTCTTATCACCAGTGTCGAGGTTGGGAGACTACTCTCTCCCGTCTTTGCATTGGCCATACTCGTCTTACTCATGGATATCTCATGGAGAGGCGTCTTGCTCCTCTCTGTGAGAATTGCCAAGCTCCATTATCAGTCAGCCACATTCTGTTGGACTGCCCACTTTATCAACGAGCACGCAGAATTTACCTCTGTCGTCGTCTTCGCTCCGCTGCTCTCTCTTTACCTTCCCTTCTCGCTGATGGACCCACCTTTCATCCGGACTCTCTCATTGACTTTTTGACAACAACTGACTTACTTCACAAATTCTGATACCTTCAGCCCTTTCTACTTCAATCTCTTGCTACCTTCTACCCCCGTACTATCCCCTGCCCTGCTGTTTTCTGTAACCTGCTGATCATCCCCCCTCCCTTCTGCCATCCAATTCCCTTGCTTCCTTCCCTACCCTGCAGCGCTGTATAGCCCTTGTGGCTTAGCGCTTCTTTTTGATTATAATAATAATAATAATGGAGTAGTCAATAGGCTCAATTTAAGCCCAATTACCCAACCAACAAACCACAGCTACCATATAGTTGCTGTTAATACTTCCACTAGCTTTAATTTGCATGGTGTGAAGAACACACAATGCTGCCACTGTGTCCCCCACTGTAACAGCTGCATTGCTCAGTACCTGTCACAACAACAGTACACACAACCATTGTCAGGTACACACACACAATAACCATCACATACCTAATAGGTGCCACCAATACTAACACCAGCTATAACTTGTAGTGAGGTCTCAGATGCATGAGACGAAGTGAGAGGGAATGTGATGAGTGGGAGGAAGGGAATGTGTGAGAGGAAGAGAGATGAGGGAAGAGAAAAAAGGGAATGGGGGAAGGAAGGAAATGAAAAAGGCACTCACAAGAGTACTGTACATTTTCAGTGTTGAAAAATAAATAGAATTATATCAAATAAGACCAACAGATAATGGAGAATACAGAATAAAATTAGATAAAAAAATCTAGATAATGACTGATGCAGAACAACAGATCTCCAGATAATGGGTGGTTGGTTAGTATCAAATGCAATAATATTTTGTTTGTGCCAATTTTATGTATGTGGGGTGGGATGATATTTCTACAGTAGTGAGATTTCTCATACATTTAGAGAAACATACTATGAGGCTAAATTCCTTAATATAATTACTAATTTTTAATGCATCAGCACATTACAAGAACTCATTAAATAATCTAAATAAACTTGCTTAATTGAATAAGTAAGTTTATTTAGGCACAGGTACACATAAGTACGTACAATTATTATACAGTGTAAATTACCTAAGGTAACCCAAAAAAAGTCAGACAGTGACTTATTTCCATTGGGGTCCTTGAATGAGAGAAAGCTAAACACCACTATTATTCAGTATTAAAGAGGAAAAAATTCTTAAACGAATTCGTCGCTAAGTGAGAAGCATATTATAATGGTGTATTTATGTTAACCATCTTTGATATTGTTTTAATGTCACCTCACAGCATTTATAACCTTTCTGGTATACGTATTTTTAAATGTTTATACGGTAGTGTACTGTATATTGTAATAAACAGAATAGAGGAAGTCAGCTCTAAAATACATTCCCCTCAAGGAAGGTTCCTTGATGTTGGTGAGGGGCTCTTGATTTAGGGAATTGGATCTGTGCTCCAGTTCCCCGAATTAAGCCTGAATGCCTTCCACATCCCCCCCCCCCAGGCGCTGTATAATCTTCCGGGTTTAGCGCTTCCCCCTTGATTATAATAATAATAATAATCTAAAATACATTATTTAGTTATGAATACTGGTCAGAGAGTCCTTCATAAGTCTGAGGCGTTGGTAAACGAGTACATTGCTAAGTGAGGAGAGGTTGTAAACTTTTTGGTCAGAATGAAGGTAACATTTGAAACCTTTGATATAAAATCTTCTCTACAATAATCTAATAATACTAAGATAAAGAGTATTACTTTTATTACAGATAGATTTGTCATAAACGGTATCTCGCTGGTTTAAAGATGAGCTCAAACTGCAAGCAAACCCCTCCTAATAAGCCCTCTTCACTGCTGACACAAGAGGAAAATGATATAATCTTTCATCTGCTTGGTGCAAGGTGCCAGGTAATGAAACATTATATTTAAGGCTGGTCATCAAGTTGATGACCGGCTTCCTGAGAGGGTTTTTTTATTTATTTTGTGGCCTAGCAATAAAAATTAAAGCTGGCTAAAAGCCTGAAGGCAATTCCCTGTAAGGCAATTGTAAATATATCTTGTATAATATTATACAGTAGGACCCCCGTATCTGTAGGTCCAGTATCCGAGGTTTACCGTGGCCAGAAAATAACCCTTAATTTTGCTTAGTAATGGCTTCAAAATGCAAGAGTACTGATGATGGTAGTTCTTCAAAGTCTGACCAGCTGGGCTGTGGTTTGCACTTCACTTTGTGTGTGGCAAGCAGTAACAGCTTGGTTGATCAGGCTCTGATCCACTGCTAGGCCTGGTCACAGACAGGGCTGCAGGGGCGTTGATCCCTGAAACCCTCTCCAGGTATACTCCAGCTACTATAAGAAAAACCGTGAAGTGCTTCCCATTAGTGAAAAAGAGATAATTCTTCACTTATTGTGTGTAAGTTATTAATTAAATTTTATAATAGGTATGTATATAAAGAAAAAACAACATATATAGGGTTCGCAACTATCTGTGGTTTCGGTATCCATGGCAGGTCCTTGGTACATATTCCCCTGCAGTTACAGGGGTCCTACTGTACTGTCAAGAAAGAATAAAAAGGCACAGTACGTACTGTGTTACACTCATATTGTGAATGTGATTGATCTTTGCTCTTGTTCTTAATACTCTTGTAGATAAGGTAACCTGGTCTTCACTGTCAAAAAGTGATCTCTGTAAGAGACTGCCTGTACCATATAGTGTATACAGTACCTAGAGAAGAAGAGAAATATAAATTAACTGAAAAGGAAATAGCATTCACATTAGGTAGATGTTTAATCCTAACAGCTACTCCATTTTTGTAAACAACAGTTCACAATAAAATATTGAAATTTTTGAAGAATTTGATATTGGTACGTAGTAGCAAAGTGTTAAAAGATATCTGAAAATTGGTTATGATGATAGAAAATTACAGTGGATCCCCGGTTATCGGCCATAATCCGTTCCAGGTCGACCGATAACCGAAATGGCCGAAAACTGAATTAATATTTCCTATAAGAATTAATGGAAATACAATTAATCCGTTCCAAGCAAAATATTCACAAAAAAATATTTTTTTTAACAATTATGTAAGTATTACATATGGTTTATTGAAGGCTAATGCTGGCTTATGGAAGATAGGGAGGAGGAAAGAGGGAGGAGTTAGTGTTTGGAAGGGGAATCCCCCTCCATAAAGACTTGAGGTAGCAAAGCCTTCTCTGGGGTTACTTCCCTTCTCTGTCTTTTAATGCCACTAGGACCAGCTTGAGAGTCACTGGACCCCTGTCTCACAAAATAACTGTCCAGAGTAATCTGTTGCTGGTGTCTCTTTAAGATTTCCCTGAAGCGGGACAGGGTTTTGTCACTAAACATGTTGCAGATATGGCTTGTTTCAGCTTTGTCAGGGTGGTGTTTCTCTACAAAAGCTTGTACCCTAGTGCACATTGCACACACCTCTTTAATCTTTGAAGAAGGCACCTCCTTCACTCCCTCTTCCTCCTCCTCTGAAGCAAGTTCTTCTTCTTCTTCTTCTTTCTTCTGTTGGGTTTCAGGGCCACTGACAGCATACACCGTATCGAGCCCGGCCGTTCAGTGCTAGGAGAGGGAATATCAACCAAAGTGGAAGAATGTCTTGACTAATAACTATGCATCATATGTCTCTGATACACCCTGAAGCCAGCAGGAAGGAGCAGGTACAGGCCAATATCTCCTGACAGTCCAGAGGGAGAAACCCCTCCCCGTTGAGGAGGACAGGTAGAGTGAAAGTGTGCACCCCAAGTGTGCGCAAGGCCGCATGGAGAATAGTCCATGCAGAGTGATAACATGGGCACCACAGCAGGAAGTGTTCCACCGTCTCAGGCTGTGAGGGACACCACAGGTGATACAGATGAGCTACCAGTCGCGAGTGCCCAACTCGAAGGCGGGTCAGTGCAACGTCCACCGAGCGGTTAGGATGGCGAGCCCAAGGGCAGGGGCCATTAAAAGTTTGGACAAGCCCAACGCCGAAGAAGAGAGGGAGTGTGCAAGGCCCTCTTGCCACTAATGACGGATTCCCTTCCAAACAGCCCTTGTGAAATCACTGTGGCCCAGGGCAAGAGGGGTAACAGTAGGAAGTGTGTGTGCGAGGGAGACCGCCCGATCTGCCACTTCATTGCCCCAGATTCCAACATGGGCAGGAACCCACTGAAGGGAGATGCTCCAACCTGGGCTCCGCAAGAAGTGCAGGAGGAGAGATTGTGTCCGACGAACGAGGACGAGCAGTGATCGTGGACGGGCAGATCACAAAAGTGCCAGGGAAGATTGGGAATCTGAGAAGAGGACCAATGGTTGTGGGGGAATGTGATCAAGGACAAAAGCCAGAGCCTGGTGAATGGCGAAGAGCTCCCCTGCCAGAACAGAATGAGCAGGGTCCAACCACCACGTTTGACACAGGGAGAGATTAGCGAAGAAGGCCGCAGATGATGTAGAAGGGGGGGAGGACCGTGCCGAGTCATCCGTGTAGACAGAGAATAAAGAGCCATATGTAACAGAGCGAAACCCTTCAAAAAAGAAATGCAACAAAACTGGGGGGGTTCCCTTGTTCCTGTTGGGGCCAATCCAGGTGAAGTACCATGTCAGGTCCACCAGGGGGGGTCCCGGGGAGAGTGGAGAGGGGAGGGAGTCATCACAAGTGCAGGAAGAGTAAGGCAGGACAGGGAATGCTGGGCCCTGGCTACAAAGGAAGGCTGAGCCAAACGTGGGGGGACAGAGGGTGTCTCCCACATCTGTGAAGAGAGGCGACAGGGGTGAGTACAAAACAGAGAGGCCATATGATGGAGTCGTAAACAGTTCCTCGCTGTCCGCACCGACGAGAGAGGGACTATCCCCGACTCTGCCTCCAATAGAGTCCACAGGGTTGGCAGGGTCAGGGTCAGCCTCAAACTCTTCAAAATCCCTTTTTTGGAAACAATCTGGCCACAGTTTTCTCCAAGCAGAGTTCAAAGTCCTCGAAGTCACTCCCTCCTAAGCCTTACCTATAAGGCTTATGCAGTGGAGGATAGTGAAGTGATTCCTCCAGAACTGTCTTAGGGTCAACTGAGTGTCTGATGCCACTTCAAAGCACTTTTGAAACACTGCTTTTGTGTAGAGATTTTTGAAGTTAGAAATGACCTGCTGGTCCATGGGCTGGAGGAGAGGAGCGGTGTTAGGAGGTAAGAACTTCACTGTGATGAAATTGAAGTCCCTAAACACTTGGTCTTGCAAGTCTGGAGGATGTGCAGGAGCATTAATAATAATATAATATAATAATAATAATATCTTTATTTTACTACAAGTACATGTACAGGGTATACAGTCCTAGCTGATAACAATGACATACTACTATATAGAAAGTCCCTTGTTATGCTCCGCATTTCGGGCAAATTAGGTCAGTGTCCCAGGATGCGACCCACACCAGTCGACTAACACCCAGGTACCCATTTTACTGATGGGGAACATAGACAACAGGTGGAAAGAAACACGTCCAATGTTTCTACTCTGGCTGGGAATCGAACCCAGGCCTTCGCCGTGTGAAGCGAGAGCGTTAACCACCAGGCCACCAGGAGGCACTTAAGTGGCAATTTCTTTTCCAGCAGGTATTTTTTCACACTTGGGCCAAACACATCATTAACCCACTCTTTGAAAATTTGCCTTGTGACTCATGCCTTATGATTAACTTTCCACATCACACACAATCTATTCTTCATGACATTGTTTTTCTTGAACACTGGGATTTTCTGAGTGATACATGAGTAAAGGCTTCACTTTGAAATCCCCACTAGCATTACCACACAACAAAAAGTAAGCCTGTCTTTCATAGGCTTGTGTCCTGGCAGTGTCTTTTCCTCCTGGGTAATGTAGGTCCTGTTTGGCATTTTCTTCCAAAAGAGGCCTGTTTCGTCACAATTGAACACTTGTTGGGTTTCGAATCCTTCAGTCTTTACATAGTCCTGGAATTCATGAACATACTTTTCAGCCACACATTTGTCAGAACTTGCAGCCTCACCATACCTTACAACACTGTGTATGCCAATACGCTTCTTAAATCTATCTTTGCTGGCCCTAAATTCACAAACTGCAGCACTTGTTCCAGGCATTTTCTTTACAAGATCCTCATGCAACTGCCTTGCCTTCTCACAAATAATAGACTCCACAACACTGTTTCCCGCTAATTCTTTTTCCTTAATCCACAATAATAATAACTTTTCCATCTCTTCCATTATTGGTGGCCTTTGTTTAATTAGACAAGTTACTCCTTTTGCAACATTAGCATCTTTGATTTGTTCTTTCTTTGCCATGATGGATGTAATTGTTGATTTATTCTTGCTGTACATCCTGGCAAGTTCCACCACTTTCATACCACTTTCAAACTTTTGTATCACTTCACGCTTAAATCCCATGGTGTGTCTCACTTTCTTTGCCACAGGAACTTTCTTTGGAGCCATGGTTCCTTATTTCACAGTTTCACTGCAAAAATAACACAAACTACAATGGGAAATAAGCAAAATGTTTGGATGTATCAGCAGAAGCTTCCTCAGCCACCGAGAGACAAAGCCAAACTGATGCGCAAGCAGCCCCAGCCGGCAGATGGATGTGTCCCAAATGGCCGATAACCGAGCAAACGGCCGATAACCGGGCACCGAAAAACTGGCCGATAACCAAACTGGCTGATAACTGGGGGTCCACTGTGCTTTTCTAATATCATAAAAGTACTGAATAACCAAACTGTTCTAATGCTTTGTAAGCTATAAAACTCCAACTGAGGAAACTATACTTAATGAGCAAATTAATGGCTCAAAATGAGTTAATACACTCTCATTTAGAATAAATTTTAGATACAGGATTTTTCTTATAGTATGTAATCAGATTTTTTCTTTTTCTTTTATGTGTTCACAGACACTGAGCACAGCTGTTGTCCAGGTGTTTGGCACTGATGGACCTCATCATAATTCATGGCGCAAGCGGTACTTTGGTACTGCCATCTTCACTAAGGACAATGTGCAAAGATCATATTACATACAGGTTAGTTATATTATTGCTATTAAACTAGGATCTTCAGATCTGCTTTTATAAGAGATTGTGCAATTGTTCTCTACTTGTAGTTTCCCGTTAAGTCTTCATGTTCTAAATAACATTACAAAGCTAAACTTCCTTATTTGAAGCCAATACATTTTATATGTGACAAAATATGGCATATATACAGTGGACCCCCGCATAGCGACCTTAATCCGTGCAAGAGGGCTGGCTGTTATGCGAAATGTTCGCTATGCGAATGAATTTTCCCCATAAGAAATAATGGAAATAAAATTAATCCGTGCAAGACACCCAAAAGTATGAAAAAAAAATTTTTTTACCACAAAAAAATGTTAATTTTAGTACACACAAAACTGAAAAAGGCATGCACAATTACATGACACTTACTTTTATTGAAGATCTGGTGATGATTGAGGGATGGGAGGAGGGGAGAGAGAGTGTTAGTGTTTAGAAGGGGAATCCCCTTCCATTAGGACTTGAGGTAGCAAGTCCTTTTCTGGGGTTTACTTCCCTTCTTCTTTTAATGCCACTAGACCAGCTTCAGAGTCACTGGACTTCTTTCGCACAACATATCTGTCCATATGGCCTGTACCTCTCGTTCCTTTATGATTTGTCTAAAGTGGTTCACAACACTGTCATTGTAACAGTCACCAGCACGGCTTGCAAAAAGCTGTGTGAGGGTGATTTTCATCAAAAAAGGTTTGCACTTCAAGCCATTTGCACACATTTCCTTAATCTTTGAAGTAGGCAATTCCTTCAATTTCTCTCTCCCCTCCTTTGAACCAGTTTCCCCAGGTCTGGCCTGTTGCTCTTGAAGTTGATCTATCAGCTCATCAGTGGTTAGTTCTTCATTGGCCTCCTCCACCAACTCTTCCACATCCTCCCCACTAACCTCCAACCCCAAGGACTTCCCCAATTCCACAATTGATTCCTCAACTGGTATACTCCTCTCAGGGTTAGCCTCAAACCCTTCAAAATCCCTTTTGTCTACACATTCTGGCCACATTTTTCTTCCAAGCAGAGTTCAAGGTTCTCTTAGTCACTCCCTCCCAAGCCTTACCTATAAGGTTTACACAATTGAGGATATTAAAGTGATCCTTCCAAAACTCTTTTAGAGTCAATCGAGTGTCTGTGGTCACTTCAAAGCACTTTTGAAACAGAGCTTTTGTGTACAGTTTCTTGAAGTTGGAAATGACCTGCTGGTCCATGGCTGCAGGAGAGGAGTGGTATTAGAGGCAAAAACTTCACCTTAATGAAGCTCATGTCCCATAAAGTCGCTCTGCCACGTCTGTAGGATGACCAGGGCATTGTCTAACACCAGGAGGCACTTAAGGTCTAATTTCTTTTCAGTTAGGTAATCTTTCACATTGGGGGCAAATGCATGGGTAACCAGTTATAGAAAAATTCCCTAGTGACCCATGCCTTACTGTTTGCCCTCCACAGCACACACAAATTATCCTTGAGGACATTCTTTTGCCTGAATGCTCTGGGAGTTTCAGAGTGATACACTAATAAAGCTTAACTTTGCAATCACCACTAGCATTGGCACACATCAACAAAGTAAGCCTGTCTTTCATAGGCTTATGTCCTGGGAGTGCCTTTTCCTCCTGAGTAATGTAGGTCCCCGCTTGGCATTTTCTTCCAGAACAGGCCTGTTTCATCACAATTAAACACTTGTTCAGGTTTCAGTCCTTCAGTTTCTATGTACTCCTTGAATTCATGCACATATTTTCAGCCACTTTGTGGTCCGAACTGGCAGCCTCACCATGCCGTATCACACTATGGATGCCACTACGCTTCTTAAATCTCTCAAACCAACCTTTGCTGGCCTTAAATTCACTCACATCACTAGTTGCAGGCATTTTTTAATTAAATCGTCATGCAACTTCCTAGCCTTTTCACATATGATCGCTTGAGAGACGCTATCTCCTGCTAGCTGTTTTTCATTTATCCACACCAATAAGAGTCTCTCAACATCTTCCATCACTTGCAATCTTTGTTTCAAAAACACAGTTAAACCTTTGGCAACAACAGCTTCCTTGATTGCCGTTTTCTTGCCCACAATAGAAGAGATGGTTGATTTTGGTTTCTTGTACAACCTGACCAGGTCGGTGATACGTACTCCACTTTCATACTTATCAATGATCTCTTTCTTTATTTCAATAGGAATCCTAACCCTTATTGCTGTAGGGTTGGAACTAGAAGCTTTCTTGGGGCCCATGGTCACTTATTTTCCAGAAACAGCACCGAAAACACTGTAATAATACGAAATATTCCGAGTGTATGCTTGAATGTTACCGCGGAGGCTGGCTGGTAAACAATGGCACAGGCGGCACATGTGAGGCTGGCTGAGGGCGCACATTGGACGCGTCTCGGACGAAGGCCGCTGAGCGGGTTTTTGTCCACTATGCGGGGCAAAATTTTAGCGAACAAAGCGTCCGCTATGCGGATTGTCCGCTATGCAAGGCGTCCGCTATGCGGGGGTCCACTGTATATTCTGAGGGTGCTCTACCTGCACTCGTGATCCTATTTTCACATTATTTTTTTCAGGTGTATGATATTGTGGTTGCAAAGCGAGTCTTTGAACAGGAGCTGTATAATCAGTTTACTTATTCAGCCTCAATGCCTTTCTTCCACCAGTTTGAAGCAGAAGTAGGTTGTATATTTTTATTGTTTTTCTCTCCTTTTTAATTAGTATAGTATAGTATACCTTACTGAGGGAAGAAACCTTTATGAACAAGTCCTGAAACAGAGTGATATATATTTTGTGATTTGTTGAATTGAAAAAAATTTGTGTGGTAAGTAAGTAAGTAAGTTTATTCAGGTATACACAAATACAGTTACATAGAATTATCATACATAGCAGCATATGTGTAGAGAACCTAGGATAATCTGAATATAATACAAAAAATATTCTTAAATCTTTGTAAATAATTTACAACTTTTTTAATAATTTTATAGCAATCAGAATTTATAAATTATTTTATTATTAAAATACATAACTGATATTCATGCCATAGATATGATGATTTATCTTACATAATGTGTAATAAGCAGAATTTCATATTATAGGAACATTATTTGTACATCAGCTTGAAACATGAAATGATAAGGAAACCACAGACTGATAATTATTGCAACTCAAACATCACTTGTTTAAAATATCCACACTGTGCTTCAGTATTACTAACAATGAGGTTGTGTTAGTGATGCTACTGAGCAAAACATTCATTAACTAATTTAATTAGTGTTATTGCAATAGCAAGTGCATTGTGGCCAAGATGAAACGTTGCACCAGTGATAGTCTTCTTTGTATGTCCTTCATCAAGATTGAAGGCTTTGATGAAACTGATGGAGTCAAATTCTTAATGAACCACGAGAAGACAAGCAACTCAGCGGATGGTGAGACCATTGGATATTCCTGTTGTTGTTTCCACTTTGCCTTGTTCCAGTTTGAACTTTTCATATTGTTAGATAATGAAATAAATACTAAATATCTCTCATAATGCTGTAAGGGCAACATTGAGATTATAAAAACGATATAGATAAAATAGGTGTGACTTGGAGGAAAAAAGCCATAAGGTAAAATAGGTTGTGTCTTGTAGGGAAGAAGCCATGGATGACCAGCCACTGGATACAGTTATTTTGTACCTGCACAGAATGAACTCTGCCATGCATTAGTTTTTTTTTTTTTATTAACACATCTGTTCCCCACCAAGACAGGGTGACCCAAAAAAAAAAGAAGAAACAGAATAATTCTTCATTTTACATTTGGCAGCTTGTACAGGAGAAGGGGGTTACTAGCCCCTTGCTCCCAGCATTTTAGTCGCCTCTTACGACATGTGTGGCTTGCACTCTCGATTTAACAAGCTTTGATTTAGCGTACTTTAGAAATACAGGAAAAATCCGCTGGGTCATTTGATTTGGAAACTATGGACAATATTTGTTGTTTACAGGATTGTACAATATTGTTACGACCATGGCAAAACGATCTCATCTCTATCGATCACAATCACCATTGCATTACTGGTCACTACCTTTATACCTTTGAAGAGTTTTGAGAGTTTCACTACTCTTGGAGCCCGGCCATGGTGCTTGCCTGGTCAACCAGGCTGTTGCTGCTAGAGGTCTGCTGTCCCACATATCCATCACAGCCTGGTTGATATGGCACCTGGTGAAGATACTTGTCCAGTTTCCTCTTGAAGGCTTCTACACTTGTTCGAGCCTTGTTTTCAATATCTTCTGGTAAGATGTTGAATAGTCTGGGACCCCCAGATGTACTAGTTCCTATCCCGAATTCAGTTAAATCAACTGATTAATAGGTGGGAGCATCTCTCCATATTTCTTTTCTCATCAGTTGTTCTAGGCTATACATGCATCCCAGAATAGTTCACTTCTAGGCTATACATGCATCCTAGAATAGCCCACTTCTAGGCTATACATGCATCCCAGGATAGTTCACTTCTAGGCTATACATGCATCCCAGAATAGTCCACCTCTAGGCTATACATGCATCCCAGGATAGTTCATTTCTAGGCTATACATGTATCCCAGAATAGTCCATTTCTAGGCTATACATGCATCTCAGAATAGTTCACTTCTAGGCTATACATGCATCCCAGAATAGTCCACTTCTGTGAGTGAAGAGTGGATGCCAGGTGTATTGTTCTTGCAGGTCACAAACTGAATAAGACCAGGACACATAAGGTACTTGGGGCAGTACAAAATTATACAGTATTTTTTTTTATTTTACCTTTACTCATGCTGGATACAAAGATGTTGAAATTTTCCATATGCAGTACTGTATTTATATTTTGTCTTAGTTTTATGGACTTGTTACATTATTTTGTATGTTGCATACAAACTTCTAATTTGGCAGTTTCCATTTGACTTCAACTCTACAATTAGCACAGTATAATGAGCCTCATAATTCAAAAAGTGTTTTACTCTGCATTTGCAGGAGTCAAGTTTATTATTGAGTTTTATTTGGCACTGTAGAGAGAAGATGGCAAAGTGAGCACCATCAGAGACGACGACGACAGCAGCAGCAGCAGCCGCAGCAGCCGCAGCAGCCGCAGCAGCCGCCACCGCCGCAGCAGCAGCAGCAGCAGCAGCAGCAACAGCAGCCGCCGCCTCAGTCATAATTTGTGCCCCCATATGTTCCTCCCTACAAGGACCCCAAAAAGAAAAACAATAAAAAGGGAAATAAAAATCGAAACAAGCTCAGGTACAGTTATTTGAAAGTTTTTTCAGCAGTTATCTAAGTAATAGAGAACTAATCAATAAATATTTTGTTTTTGTAAATGATGCATTTAATTACTTTGACGTTTGAAATTTCTTCTTTCAACAGAGCGGCTGTATCCCACCAAGGCAGGGTGGTGAAAAAGGAAAAATGAAAGTTTCTCCTTTTAAATTTAGTCATATATATACAGGAGGAAGGGTCACTAGCCCCTTGGTCCCAGCATTTTTGTATTATTTTACGACACACATGGCTCACAAAGGAAGAATTCTGTTCCACTTCCCCATGGAGATAAGAGGAAATAAACAAAAACAAGAACTAGTAAGGAAACTGAAGAAAACCCAGAGGGGCGTGTGTATATATGTACTTGTTTGTACGTGTGTAGTGTGACTTAAGTGTAAGTAGAAGTAGCAAGACATGCCTGAAATCTTGCATGTTTATGAGACAGAAAAAAGACACCAGCAATCCTACCATCATGTAAAACAGTTATTGGTGTCCGTTTCATACTCACTTGGCAGAATGGTACCTTCCTAGGTGGTTGCTGTCTACCAACCTACTACCTATTGTTTGAAATTTGTATATCTCACAAATAACAAATATATGTAACACAGTGGACCCCGCTTTACGATCAGCTCCCAATGCGACCAATTATGTAAGTGTATTTATGTAAGTGCGTTTGTACATGTATGTTTGAGGGTCTGAAATGGATTAATCTACTTCACAATATTCCTCATGGGAACAAATTCGTTTAGTACTGGCACCTGACCATACTTCTGGAATGAAATAATATCGTAAACCGGGGGTCCACTGTACATGCCATGTAGGTCATAAGAGGTGACTAAAATTCTGGGAGCAAGGGGCTAGTAATCCCTTCTGTATAAATTATTAAATGTAAAAAGAAGAAAAGTTTTATAAAGTTTTCTTTTTCAAGTCACTCTTCCTCAGTGAGAGACGACAGGTGTTTTGAAAAAATGTAATACATTATATGTTGTTTTTATACATTATAATGTTAATATTTCTGCATATACAGCAAACACGAGATTGGCATGCCAATGGATTTCAAACACCACTCATGTTGGCTTCAATCCTGACACTGGATTTTCTCAGTTCAGTGTGGATGACAAGCTTGAAGGCTTCTTTAACATGGTAAGTGTATTACATATCCTTCTAAATCATAAGGATTAGATATATCAAGTGTACAGCACTTACTGTACCAAGTCTGAGAGCAATGTTCAGAAGTTGGCCAATATTTCCCCTTAGTAGGTGTTTTTAAAATTTAAGATGGGGGGTGGTAGTGGGGCAACCAGAAAAAAAAAATGGTGCTGAAATTTTATTGCACATTTAAATGGCACACATTTCTTCCCACACAAGTGAAAATGTCAAATGAACAAAGTTTTAGCAAATATTTATGAGTTTCTAACTGTTCTTTATTGTATCATCATTACTACTTTTAGTAAACTTATAAAGTCTTGTTTTTGCAGAATTTATATACTAACATAAAATTCATTTCAAGGGGGACATCAGTCCTTGTTTAATAAAGTGGAGAAAAGGGGGAGCTAGGCAAAAGTAAAATGGTTCGGAAACACTCCTTAAAAGCATTGAGTGACTTAATGTAAGAATTTAGCACTGAAAATTTAATGTTTATGTACTACACATATACTACATATTTTTTTCCTTTAAATAGTCTCTCCTCACTTAATGATGGAGTTCCATTCCTAAGAGTAGTTTGGTAAATGAATTGGTTGTTAAGTGAGGAGCATACTATACTGGTAGTGGGTGTGTGGCAACCATATTTAGATATTGTTTTAATGTCACCTTGCATCATTTATAACATTTTTAGTATATTTTTAAATGCTTATACAGTAGTGTACTGTATATTGTAATAAACAGAATACAGGAAATCAGCTCTAATATACTATATTCCTTAGGTATTCATACTGGTCAGAGAGCTGGCCATAAGGCCGAGCGGTCATTAAATGAGTACATTGTTAAGAATTCTTTTCCACTTCTCCATGGGGAAGTGGAAAAGAATTCTTCCTCCGTAAGCCATGTGTGTGTTGTAAGAGGCGACTAAAATGCCGGGAGCAAGGGGCTAGTAACCCCTTCTCCCGTATAAATTACTAAATTTAACCCTTTGAGGGTCGACAGGCCCTCTCCGAAACTCGTTCTCAGGGTCGGCCAAATTTAAAAAAAAAAAAAAATTATTTTTTCTTATGAAAAGATAGAGAATCTTTTCCCGATCATAAAGACACCAAAAGTTTGAAATTTGATAGAAAACTTACGGAATTATGCTCTCGCAAAGTTAGCGGTCTCGGCGATGTTTACGCATCGGCGATTTTGCCCACTTTGAGCCCCATTTTCGGCCAATTTCACTGTCCTAGTCGACAAAAAACATGAATATTTCGCTAGAACTCCATTTTTTCTATCGAATGGGTGCAAGAAACCACTCATTTATGAAATTCAACTATCCAGTACAGTGGTCAGAATTTAGGAATTTTGCCAATTTCACACAAATTTCAAAAGATGCCAATTTCTGAATAGGGTCCAGAATAAACAAGAAAGACATTCCTGGCACTAAAATGACATTTCCTCTAGTCATTATTCACGTCTCAAGGCACCTCTTATATTCTTTTGCTTTCCACTTTGAATTTTTATTTTCACAAAAAATATAAGATTTACTGTTATGCAGACTACTGCATTAGTGTAAAAAATGGTATAAATATTATTGGTGCACTTGTGAAAGAATATTAGACTCACCAGTTGACGTGTATTGCACGCTTGGCACGATTTGTTTACTTTTGAAGTTTGGTAAAAATCGAACATTTCTGCTAATTTGAGCTCAATTTCAAGGCACCTTTCTTTGTAAAACCAGTCAAAATCATCTCTATTTCTGTAATATGTCTTCCATTCTATAAAATGAGACCAAGAAAACTAGAATACAACAATAAATACAATACGAAAATACACTGCAAAGTCGCTGATTTATTCAAAAAAAATGGTCAAAGTTTTTTTTTTCTCATTATGCACTGTGTGCTGCAGGATTTTTTTTAGACTGTGCACACTGACCACATAGACCCATTCTTTCATATGAAGGCCTACCAGCTTTCTCCCACTAGATTTGAGGCCGCTAGAATTTATGAGTACTAGTACGTCAAAAACCCCTACGCGTAAGACGTACTAGTACGACGAAAACCCTCAAAGGGTTAAAAGAGAAACTTTCATTTTTCTTTTTGGGCCACCCTGCCTTGGTGGGATATGGCCAGTGTGTTGAAAGAAAGAATTTAAAAAGAAATACTTTAGTTTTTCTTCTTAGGTCACCCTGCCTCAAAAGTTTTTCTTTTTAAATTTGGTAATTTATACAGGAGAAGGGATTCCTAGCCCCTTACTCCCAGCATTTTAGTTGCCTCTCATAATACACATGGCTGACAGAGGAAGAATTCTGTTCCACTTCCCCATGGAGTGAGACTTATTGTCAACAACAATTCATTACAGGTTGGAGTCAGTCAGCAGCAGCTGTCGGACACACGCACAAGGGAGTTCATTTATGACTTCATTGAGAGAAATGGTGGCGTTGAGAAGGCCATGCAGTAAACCCAGCGATATGCGTCTATGCTTTTGGGCACCACACACACCGATAACTCATCCTCACCACCACCCCCACCTACTATAGCTGCACCACCTCCAATACCCCCAACTATCCCCTCTCATAACTCAATTTCTGGCTCCTGGGCTGCTCCACCACCTCCACCTCCACATACTAATAATCATGGTCATCCTCCTCCTACATCTGCTCCACCCCCACCACCCCCACATCCTCGAGGCCCTATGCCACCTCCGCCTCCAGGGCAGATAGTAGCAGGTACGATTGTTTTATGTTTGCTTTATTGTGTGATATTGTACTGCAGTATATTTTATACCAGCCATTTAAATGATGAAAAAACTAGTAATTTGTGTATCATTTTAATTCTTATTGTTTTAAACATTTTGGGACAGAATTTATTTAATAACACTATTTATATCCCTTTATTTCAGATTTTCTTGTGTATTAGTTAAGATAAGATAACCTGGAGTTTACCTGGAGAGAGTTTCGGGGGTCAACGCCCCCGCGGCCCGGTCTGTGACCAGGCCTCCTGGTGGATCAGCGCCTGATCAACCAGGCTGTTGCTGCTGGCTGCACGCAAACCAACGTACGAGATTTCGTTCAGATTTTTAACCCCGGAGGGTTAGCCACCCAGGATAACCCAAGAAAGTCAGTGCGTCATCGAGGACTGTCTAACTTATTTCCATTGGGGTCCTTAATCTTGTCCCCCAGGATGCGACCCACACCAGTCGACTAACACCCAGGTACCTATTTGCTGCTAGGTGAACAGGACAACAGGTGTAAGGAAACGTGTCGAAATGTTTCCACCCGCCGGGAATCGAACCCGAGCCCTCCGTGTGTGAAGCGGGAGCTTTAGCCACCAGGCCACCGGGCCTATTTTACATTAATGTATAATAGTATATGTTTTTGGTGAAGCTGCTGTTTTATATACAATACAGTAGATGTAGCCACAAAATATTATTTTGATCTACATCCTCTCCCTCAGGACAAAAGACTGCACCCCTACCTCCCATTCCTGCCTCCAGTCTTTGTCCACCACCCCCTCCAACTCTACCATTCCCACTTTCCACCATGGAAATAAGGCAGCTGCTCTGCTTCCTCCACCTCCTGCACCTCCAACTAATGGAGTTCCTCCCGCTCCACCTCCTCCTTTCCCTCGTGGTGGACTTCATACTGGTGGTGTTAATATGGATGCCCGTTCAGCACTTCTGGACCAGATTCGTACTGTGCCCACATTAAAGGTAGTATTTGGAAAAACTTGGCTATCTGTGTCTTGGTTTTATGTAAAGATTAATCTTTTCTGTATTTGTAATAACTTTTTGGAGATTTTTTGTGGGAGACTGTGGAAGATGGCCGACTTGTTGAAAAAAAGAAAAAAAAAATTCTAAGATTCCATGCATGTCGTAAGAGGCGACTAAAATGCCAGGAGCAAGGGGCTAGTGACCCCTTCTCCTGTATACATTACTAAATTTCTAAAGAGAAACTTGTGTTTTTCTTTTTGGGCCACCCTGCTTTGGTGGGATATGGCCAGTGCATTTAAAGAAGAATAATTTCTAAGATTACTAGACATTTAAATCTTATCTGAAACTTTTTTTTTTTTTTTATCACACTGGCCGATTCCCACCAAGGCAGGGTGGCCCGAAAAAGAAAAACTTTCACCATCATTCACTCCATCACTGTCTTGCCAGAAGGGTGCTTTACACTACAGTTTTTAAACTGCAACATTAACACCCCTCCTTCAGAGTGCAGGCACTGTACTTCCCATCTCCAGGACTCAAGTCCGGCCTGCCGGTTTCCCTGAACCCCTTCATAAATGTTACTTTGCTCACACTCCAACAGCACGTCAAGTATTAAAAACCATTTGTCTCCATTCACGCCTATCAAACACGCTCACGCATGCCTGCTGGAAGTCCAAGCCCCTCGCACACAAAACCTCCTTTACCCCCTCTCTCCAACCTTTCCTAGGCCGACCCCTACCCCGCCTTCCTTCCACTACAGACTGATACACTCTTGAAGTCATTCTGTTTCGCTCCATTCTCTCTACATGTCCGAACCACCTCAACAACCCTTCCTCAGCCCTCTGGACAACAGTTTTGGTAATCCCGCACCTCCTCCTAACTTCCAAACTACGAATTCTCTGCATTATATTCACACCACACATTGCCCTCAGACATGACATCTCCACTGCCTCCAGCCTTCTCCTCGCTGCAACATTCATCACCCATGCCTCACACCCATATAAGAGCGTTGGTAAAACTATACTCTCATACATTCCCCTCTTTGCCTCCAAGGACAAAGTTCTTTGTCTCCACAGACTCCTAAGTGCACCACTCACTCTTTTCCCCTCATCAATTCTATGATTCACCTCATCTTTCATAGGACCCATCCGCTGACACGTCCACTCCCAAATATCTGAATACATTCACCTCCTCCATACTCTCTCCCTCCAATCTGATATTCAATCTTTCATCACCTAATCTTTTTGTTATCCTCATAACCTCACTCTTTCCTGTATTCGCCTTTAATTTTCTTCTTTTGCACACCCTACCAAATTCATCCACCAATCTCTGCAACTTCTCTTCAGAATCTCCCAAGAGCACAGTGTCATCAGCAAACAGCAGCTGTGACAACTCCCACTTTGTGTGTGATTCTTTATCTTTTAACTCCACGCCTCTTCTCGCATTTACTTCTCTTACAACCCCATCTATAAATATATTAAACAACCACGGTGACATCACACATCCTTGTCTAAGGCCTACTTTTACTGGGAAAAAATTTCCCTCTTTCCTACATACTCTAACTTGAGCCTCACTATCCTCGTAAAAACTCTTCACTGCTTTCAGTAACCTACCTCCTACACCATACACTTGCAACATCTGCCACATTGCCCCCCTATCCACCCTGTCATACGCCTTTTCCAAATCCATAAATGCCACAAAGATCTCTTTAGCCTTATCTAAATACTGTTCACTTATATGTTTCACTGTAAACACTGGTCCACACACCCCTACCTTTCCTAAAGCCTCCTTGTTCATCTGCTATCCTATTCTCCGTCTACTCTTAATTCTTTCAATATAACTCTACCATACACTTTACCAGGTATACTCAGCAGACTTATCCCCCTATAATTTTTGCACTCTCTTTTATCCCCTTTTGCCTTTATACAAAGGAACTATGCATGCTCTCTGCCAATCCCTAGTACCTTACCCTCTTCCATACTTTTATTAAACAATTGCACCAACCACTCCAAAACTATATCCCCACCTGCTTTTAACATTTCTATCTTTATCCCATCAATCCCGGCTGCCTTACCCCCCTTTCATTTTACCTACTGCCTCACGAACTTCCCCCACACTCACAACTGGCTCTTCCTCACTCCTACAAGATGTTATTACTCCGTGTCCTATACACGAAATCACAGCTTCCCTATCTTCATCAACATTTAACAATTCCTCAAAATATTCCCTCCATCTTCCAATCCTCTAACTCTCCATTTAATAACTCTCCTCTTCTATTTTTAACTGACAAATCCATTTGTTCTCTAGGCTTTCTTAACTTGTTAATCCACTCCAAAACTTTTTCTTATTTTCAACAAAATTTGTTGATAACATCTCACCCACTCTCTCATTTGCTCTCTTTTTACATTGCTTCACCAGTCTCTTAACCTCTCTCTTTTTCTCCATATACTCTTTCCTCCTTGCATCACTTCTACTTTGTAAAAACTTCTCATATGCTAACTTTTTCTCCCTTACTACTCTCTTTACATCATCATTCCACCAATCCCTCCTCTTCCCTCCTGCACCCACTTTCCTGTAACCACAAACTTCTGCTGAACACTCTAACACTACATTTTTAAACCTACCCCATACCTCTTCGACCCCATTGCCTATGCTCTCATTAGCCCATCTATCCTCCAATAGCTGTTTATATCTTACCCTAACTGCCTCCTCTTTTAGTTTATAAACCTTCACCTCTCTCTTCCCTGAAACTATGCATGGAAAATATCCAGATATTTGACTAATTTTTTTAATTAGCAAGTACAGTGTATTATTCTTTGCATACAGTATATAGCTCACAATGTTTAAAGTCCCATTTTTTAAAAAATACTTAAACAGTACTCAGATTCAGTAATGTGTGTTATTTGGATTATATTTTTGTCTTTTGCTGAAAAATCTGTACCTAGCTTTATATACTCCTGTATTATATGTTATTTGTTGATACAGATTTATTCATTGCAATGTGACTCATGAAATAGTGATGACATAATTCCAATATACTTTTAGTAAACTCTCAGTTTAAAAGACTTCAGAAATACTGTACCAGACAAAATCCTATGTGTCACTTCATTTAGAAATAAAAGACAGTGTTGGTTACAGAATTGTCTGCTATTGTTACGATCACAGCAAGACAATCTTGATTCCATCTATCAGTCTCTGTTACTGATTATCCACCTCTCTGTTATTCCATTAAAACAAGTGTTTGCTGCATTTCACCACACATTCGTGTGTTTTATTTAATAGTCACAAATTTGATTAGATATGTTTATCAGTTTACTTAATCATTAAAGTACTGTCCATTAATAATTGTTATGTAAGAAAGCAAAATCAGAACTTGTTTTGGATAGCCTTTTCAATTATTTGAAATTCCCATTTCAGATGAGAGTATCCTTACAGTGCATTACTGAAGTGCATTTTCTTAATGTTAATGTCACTAATTATTCTGTAGATACTGTAGTCATGTTCCTATAAGTGTTTTTCACAAGCGATGAATGGTAAATGGATTTGCAAATTTCAGCTAGCGATTACTCTGCGAACAGTGTCTTCACTATTTTGTATGCATTTTGTCTACAGAGAATTCGTTTAAACAGGACATTCAGTTATTATATTTGCCATAATCTGTTTTAGATTTTTTAATCTGTTAGCCAGCTATTAATGTTATGGTTTGTTATATAATGTCATTAGTTTAGCCACTACTTCACATCTTAAAATACCCCAGGCCCAACTTCAGGAAAAACACGTGTCGCAAAGCTTAAACAGTGAAAAAAATAAAAGTAAATTAAATTAAGCTGTTGAAAATAATAACAAATAGCACATTTGAAAGTTACTTGAAGCTTCACAGTGGAATATAAATTTAAAATTATCTTTGTGCATACAGCTAAATAGATGAACTAATGGTTTATTTTAAAGATTATGAATTAAATTTTACCCTGATTAGATATTTTATAAAAATAGACGTAGCTTGATCAATACAAACATGTTTTGGTGAGAGCAGAATGAGTTAGGCAGTGAATGGTATGTAATTTTTGTTGCAAAAGATTTCTTAATCTGTTTTTGGATTAATGTCCTAATCTTTTGCTATCATCATAATTGTTTTGCATAAGGACAATAATAATATAGCCCCTGGTGTTCCTGCACAACATTCACATGCTGAATATTGCTCAAGTTGAAATATTTACTGCCAGTTGAGCCTTCAAGGGGATGCCTTGGTACTGGTGAAGAGTTCCTGATCCAGGGAGTTGAAGCTACCTTTTCCTTTTGATATAACCTGATTACCTCCTATTTCCCAGCTGCTGTATGACCCTCTACAAGGCTTAGTGCTTCCCCATGAATATAACAACACTGCCTTGGTTGGATGGCCACTTCAGTTGTGCACTCAGTGTATTGCTCTCACTACTTTTATCCCTTAGGATTTTTAATACGCTTAATAGTACTAAGGAAAAAAGGATGCTGTAGCATAGACTAATGTTTATACCAAATAATACACATCTGACTAATACAGGTTATTTGCATGTACCTTTTTAACATAGTGTAATAATGGTACATTAGCTGTGTTGTATAAAACCTCATTGTCTTCTTTGCTTATGCCATGCAAACTTTGTGGGCTAGATCATTATTTTTTCACATATTGGATTCAGGATCATCACAGAATTTTGAAAGTATATTTGAGATTCGGTTGTATTGATCCTTACTTTGAAATAGCAAAAGCATACAAGACAAGAGGATTTCTTGAAGCTGTGATAGTGGCATAATTGACTCTGAAGACAGCTACTCTTTTCCCTCCCCCTCTCGACAGGCCAGTAGTCAGCATGGTTACCAGGTATTCTCAACTCAACATTTGTTTTCACTACTGCTTTGCTTAGAAATGCTCTCATGCCATGCTTATTAGAAAAACTATTAGCTGCTGTTTAAACACACAAGTAATCCATATTCAGAAAAAAGATGTTGTATATGTCAAGTTTTATTTTCAATTTTTCATTTTAACTGTGTTTATTATTCCTAGACAGAGCCATGGCGGTGGCTCTGGGGTGTAGTGTTTAATAAAATGGCACACTTGGCCCATTTGCCTTGCATGGGCCAGTAGGCCTGTTGCAGTGCTCCTTCTTTCATTTATTATTTCAAATCCACAAAAAAAAAGATGTCTGGTTGTGGCATGTAGCCAGGTGCATGATGAAATGTACCTACTGGAATATCTCTAGATGCTGAAGTGTTTCTGGGTGTTGGGCAGGCATGCACTGCCAGAACTTGTTAGGGAATTTGTCACTGAGCAAAGTTGCCAGACTGAAAATCCCTGAAGCTGCATTGGAAATTTTGGTGTAAGGATGAGTCCTGGCCATGGCTCTGAGGTATAACGTGCATATAAGGAGAATTGTGGCCCATTTCAATAAACTTATATATCAGGTAGATGCAGTTACAGGGAGGATAAAGGATGCAGAAATCTGTTCTCCATAACCACACCCACCCAAGCAGGTTCAACCATGGACAAGCCATTAGACCATGGTGGAGCAGCTAGAGCATATTTCAAGTCTACATATAGCACAATACTTGTGTGGTCTTGGAAAGCATCATTTAAAACAAGCTTGTAGTGGTAAACACTGCCCTAAATTTATTTGGGAATCATGTCTGAGTAGACAAGAATGCAGTTCTTTTAATTTTTATCACTACTTTGAACATCATGGTATTAAAATAGTTAAACAAAGCTAACTACTACAGAATATGGAATGCAACAAGGGACTTTTTATTTAATGGCTTTTCTGTCTGTTGGGGATGAATTCTTCTTATTGGTTGTAAGAAGTGAATTAAACTTCATAAGAATAAAGATACTGTACTGTACATCCTCATGACTTCTTCCACAGCTTACTAACTCTTAGACCTTAATAGCTTCATATTTTACTCTGTCAGTAAGTTGCTTTATCTATAGTATTTGAGTGTCAAAAATTTTGCCTTTTCACGTTTTTCTGCTTAATTAAACAAGAAGGACTCCAGCTTATGAGCACATGAGTTACGAATATCTGCATAAAAATTTAATTTTTTACGTATTCCATTTACAGTTAAAAATGTGTGAAACATAACCCATCTTTTGTACCATTGTTTTCTGTAAGAGAAGGTTCATGTTTCAAATGACTTATTGGCAAGTTGAAGCACCAGAAATGTAACTTGTTCATAAGTTGGGGACCTCCTATGCTGCTTGTTAACAATTTGTGCAGAAGTTTTGTGATATGTAGTTTTTGGGTAGTGCATGTGTTAGTAAATCAATTAGATACTCTCCATAATGAGTGTGTAGAAGTTTTCTGCATGATTATTGTAACCAGTGATAATTTTGAAAATTAACTCCTTAGGATAATTCAGATTATAAATATGTAACTTATTACCTTCCCTAATAGAAAGTGGAGCCATTAGAACGACCAGCACCCGCAGCCAGCTGCTGGACCAGATCAGATCTGGAATCAAGCTGAATCCTGTAAGTTCCCATTAGTTTATTTTCACATTAAGTGTGTTAATGAAGATGTTTGAATTAACTTTGAGATTAATTGCAGTACATTAGATATTTATCTACTTATAATAATGTAAGTTACATTGATAAGACCTAGGTAGTAGGTTGGTAGACAGCAACCGCCCAGGGAGGTACTACCATCCTGCCAAGTGAGTGTAAAACAGAAGCTTGTAATTGTTTTACACGATGGTAGGATTGCTGGTGTCTTTTTATTGTCTCATACACATGCAAGATTTCAGGTACGTCTTGCTACTTCTACTTACACTTAGGTCACACTACACATACATGTACAAGCATATATAGACACACCCCTCTGGGTTTTCTTCTATTTTCTTTCTAGTTCTTGTTCATTTCCTCTTACCTCCATGGAGAAGTGTTGTAAGAAGCAACTAAAATGCCAGAAGCAAGGGGCTAGTAACCCCTTCTCCTGTATAAATTACTAAATATAAAAGGAGAAACTTTCGTTACTCCTTTTGGGCCACCCCGCCTTGGTGGGATACGGCCGGTGTGTTGAAAGAAAGAAAGACATTGATAAGAGCTCAGAATTAAGGTTTCAGAAGAATTTAGTATACGCTGATGTAAATAGGACTCGCTTGTCATGGGTTTAAACCCCACTTGTTTCTTGATTTATTTAGAAGAGTATTAGTAGTGTAAGAGGTGAATGTGTGTTAGTACAGTAAGAGGTCATGAGGATCAGCAGTGTAAGAGGCAGATTATTAAATATTGCTAGTCAGCTGATTTATGAATTTTATCCAGCTTCAAATTGATCAGGTTTTAGGTCAAGCAAACTCACAAATCACACCTCAAAGCAGTGCAGCTACATAAATTCAATCATAAAATCTGCTGTTAATTCGCTGCACAATGTAGATGAGTACCGTATCTGTTGTGTAAGAGGTAAACAAGTATCATTTAATCATGACAAATTAAGTTTTGGGAGCAAGGGGCTAGTAACCCCTTCTGTATAAATTACTAAATGGAATAAGAAGAAAAAATTTGTAAGGTTCTTTTCTTTTTCGAGTCACCCTGCCTTGGTGGGAGACAACCAGTATATTAAAAAAAAAAAAAAAATTCTGTTATCATTGGAGTTTTCCACTTCACAATTTTTCTTAGCCTTTGAGTTATCTTTGAAATCTCTTTAGTAATCTCCATTTTTTGTGTGTATTTCCTTTCAGATGCCTTGGCTTTGCTCTGCGTATATTATTCCCATTTTCTTGTCCCTACAGATTCTCAGTATCCCTTATTTGCTCTTTTTCCATGCTTTTATTAATAATATAAATTGTAATTTTTTGGTCAAAAACATTCTCTTCCACCATTTAGGTGGAAGAGAATGTGGATAGTGGAGGTGCCATGAAATCTAATAAGCCCAAGTTAGAGGGATTGGCACTGGACCTGCATTGTGCACTGACCAGTTGTGCATTGGTCATTCAGTCTGATGATGACAGCTCTGATGATGAAGAAGATGAGGAAGATGAGTGGGCTGATGATGATGATACTTGAAAAAAGAAGACATTAAGATATTTCATGTCTAAGGTATAATTTCTTTAAACTGTAAGTAAAATTTCTGAAGCTTGTATGTATAGCTTTATAATCACAAATGGAAAATAAAAAATTACATTGATAAGTCTTAAAAAAAATTTGTTGTAATTAATGAATAATAAATATGTAATTAAACAGCATCTGCAATTTTGGTTTAAACTCGTTAGGCTGGGGGCTGTTAGTACATTTTGTTTGTGAAATATACAGAACTGATCAATTTATAAGACCCTGGATGACACTGACCAATTTTTCAAGAGAAGATACTATCTACAGTCCAGTAAAAAGGCAAAAATGTAATCTTAGTATAGTTGAAATTAGTGATTGATCTCTTACCTGAGCTGAAGGGGACAGTGTATTTCTGGTATGGAACTCCAAGTTTGGCTATTGATTAATTACAGCACTGTACAACTTATGGTTTTAGTGCTTGGTATTAATTATAATAATATTGATTAATTAGGTAAATACATTTTAAAGTAGAATTTCTGTTAATTGACCGGTTTGATAGGACATGTAATTCAGGTTATTTTGATTACATATATCGATGCATACCTTGAAGTCTGAACAGAGGGTGAGAAATGCAAACAATTTCTATCATTGTTCTTCATCATTTATAAACATATTATTGAGACACTCGTACGTATTGTTACCATATTGTGTGTTAGCTCTGGTGTATTTTAAGCATCAGATGGCAAATGATAGGCAAATAATCAATTAGTACTGTATCACTATCTGAATTTTTTAATGATACAAGGTATATGTCCCATATGTTATACATAGAAATTTTGTACTATATATAAAATTATTTTTCAAAAGGTTTTGAATCTCAAGGATTTGATAAGTACAGTGAGGATCTGGGCTATGAATGCTGAATTGATTTGTCTGTGCTTGAGTGACCTTGAGACTCTGAAGAAGATGCACTTGGCCTTGACACTTGACAGAACTGCTTTAAGATTGATGTCCCATCATTACGATAATGTTTTGGGATGGTGTTGTGCGCAACATATAGCTTTATATACTGTACCAGTATACTTTAGGTTTAAATATTAAATAAAATAGTCAATATGCAATGCATATACACTTTGGTGATGGAAGACAAAACTTTGTTATAATGAAGTCAAAAGATCATGCAAGTGTTTTTCTCATACAGCAGGCAGTCTGGGGTGTACCGTTAAGTAGATGAGTAAGACACATGTGCAACAGTTGGGTATCTTTATACCTGACTGTTCCACATGCATCTCACCCATTAGTCTAGGTTTTCACGTGTAACTCCCCTTCCTTCACACTATGCTTAGTGCTTACATTGATGTACTGTGCCTTCGGAAGAATCTTGAGCTTTTAGGTTTAAAAATGGAGTCATAATTTTTTTTCTATGATATTAAGGTATATGTGTAATTGCCTGTGTGTAATTATTGTACCTTCTTCTTTCTTTCAACACACCGGCCGTATCCCACCGAGGCGGGGTGGCCCAAAAGGAAAAACGAAAGTATTATTGTACCTATTTGTAGTTATAGAAGCAAAACTATGTTTGTAGGGTCCCATTCTCAGTTTTTAGTTTCTTGAAAGGATTTGAAGATAAAAATTGCTTGTAGCACATATTACTTTTTGGATCCATTCCAGTATTCTATCACTATTTGTGAAGAATATTTAGTGGTATGCTACTGGTATTATTTTTGGGTTACAACTGTGGTCCCTCTGTTCTTTTTACTGATGGTGCCAAGAAATCTGTTTTCTTCTATACAGTAGGGCCCCACTTATACGGCGGGTTAGGTTCCAGGCTGTCGCCGGAAAGCATACATCGCCAGAAAGCAGAATGCCATTTTTTCCATTTATAAATGCATATAAATGCCAGACAACAAGTTTACACTAAATTGTATTAAGTTAGTAATAGAACTAGGCATTAAAAACACAAAAAAGTAAAATACATACACAGTACATTCATTACTTATCTTAAAGTATGTAGTCTAGTGGCCAGAGGTGAGTCACCGTAAACTGGATTTGTAGGAAGTAAGGTTGTACGGTAGCCCTGGGGTCCCATTAAATTAATATCGTATTAAAAATCCTAGGAGTTAAAACACATACGTACATACTGATACCTAAAATATGTGTAGTCGTTAAAGGTTGTAAGAGGGTCATGTATTTATTTGTAGGAAGTCAGTGAGGTGCCAGTAGTACTGTTGGGTACACTACAGGTTACCTACCACTGTGGCCCGACCAAATTATCATGACTAACTTTTACTGAATTATCGTTTAACAACACCTTTAGATGCCATCATAAACAAAGGGAGAAGTAATGAATAATTCATGCCGAAAATTGTAAACAAAAGCGGAGTGGGGGAGTGACTGGGCCAAACGCAGATTCATACACGTTTTCTCTGGTGCCTGACCAGAGAAAACGTAATGTTGTCCCTCCGCCCGGCTACCACACAGGTCCACAAGTATTATTACCAGAGCACATATAAAATATGCAATAAATGCCAGATAACAAGTTTACACTAATTTATATTAAGGTAGCAATAGAAATAAGCATTAAAAACACAATAAAAGGTAAAATACACACAGAGTACAGTGGACCCTCAGCTAACAATATTAATCCGTTCCTGAAAGCTCATCGTTGGCTGAAATTATCGTTACCTGGAGTTTACCTGGAGAGAGTTTCGGGGGTCAACGCCCCCGCGGCCCGGTCTGTGACCAGGCCTCCTGGTGGATCAGCGCCTGATCAACCAGGCTGTTGCTGCTGGCTGCACGCAAACCAACGTACGAGCCACAGCCCGGCTGATCAGGAACTGACTGAATTTTTCCCCATAAGAAATAATGGAAATAAAATTAATCCATTCCTGACACCCTAAAGTATGAAAAAAAAAAAAATTTTACCACATGAAATATTAATTTTAATACACACAAACTGACACTTACCTTTATTGAAGATCTGGTGATGATTGATGGGATGGGAGGAGGGGAGAGTATGGATGTTGTTAATGTTTAGAAGGGGAATCCCCTTCCGAGGTTACTTCCCTTCTTCTTTTAATGCCACTAGGACCACCTTGAGTCACTGGACCTCTGTCGCACAACATATATGTCCATAGAGGCCTGCTATTACTGTTATGATTCACTTTTAAAACTTCAGAACTCTGAAATTTAATTTTTTTTCGATAGGTTGAAGCGCATGGTGCCATCACCACTAGACACCTCAGCCTCACTCGTAGATTTTGTGAGTATGAGACCTCGTAATGCATCAGGGTCCAGCAGTGACCTGCTCGCACCACCCAGGACATCCATTCCTCATCAGCATCTACTCTATCGACTTTTGCAGCAAGATTGCGGCTTGTATTTCGTGCGACGAGCTGCCTCACTCACTCACACAAGCACCGCCACACACCCGAAGCCACACAAGACTGATCTGCTTTATGTATAATATGTATACCGATGATAATCCATGCCTCTGGTTTATTAAAACATTTGTGCAAAAATCATGCTGCTGACTCCTAATCTCCCCATAAGCTTTTCTGTCTTGGCCAGACACCAACCCACAACTCATACTGCTAATCTCCCACCATCACATCTGCACATTTGCCCACAAATTGTGCTGCCAATTACATACCTGTCCACAACCTACTACGGAATGCTGGTGCTGTAACTGCTAATCCATTTATCGTACTTTCCTAAAATCATTGTTTACAACCTCACTCTTCTTTCCACAACTTATTTTAGTTAGTGCTACATTCACTTACTTAGCAAGTGTAGAGTATCATTATATTCTGGGAAAATATTAATACTTGTTGAGTGTTGTAGTGGCCGGGTATGTGAGGCATCTGTGCTGCTGACTGCATCTTAACATCAAACTTTGAAACAAATACTGACTGTACAGTCCTAACTGAACTAACATTACACAGTTATAATAAAAACTCGAGCATTAATTTTAAAGTATGATTATCCACAGTGGTGATGGGTGTCTGGGTTTACCAAGAATGCAAAACTTTTTTCTTTTTTAAGCTCTATGGCTGTCTCCTGCCAAGGCAGGGTGACCTAAAGAAAACATGTTCACCATCACTCAATCAATCGCTGTCTTGCCAAAAGACGAAACTATTTTCCAATAAAAACAGCAAAAAGAAAAATTCAGTTAGGTTTTTAAAATAATAACAGATGTCTGATTTGTGTTGGAGTGAGAGTTAGGTTAGATAATGTTTATAATTGATTAAGAAAACCGACACGTTGATAAATGATGGACTGAACACATCGACTCCAGACTGAGGGACTGATTACCTCAAACTCCTCATCTTCCACCTTTCTCTACATATGGACTGAAGCCACTGCTTGGCGAAATGTTTCCAGAATAAATGTACCCAAATGTTTCAAAGGTTAGGTCAGCTTGGTCAGAAACCAGGACAAGTGTTTCCTGACTTTGGGACATACACCAATTATAATTACTAAATATGATTTATTTCTCATTCTAAACAAAACTCTACGTACATTGTTCATCAAAGATATTTAGATTATTATACAGTTTCTTAATTACTACATGTATATATAAATTTCACATTAAAACTGTAGGAGAGGACGGAAACTAAGAACCTCCATTCACCTCTCAACTGCCATTATTCATCTTTGCTCACTACTGAGTAACTTGGGCAAAACTTCTCCATTATGCATTAAAAAACTGCAGTTGTGAAAGCTACACCTATCGTCTAAATATGCTTGTAATATATAATGGAAATATATAATACTATTTACATTATATTGAAACAAATATGTGCAGTAGAATAGAGCTAGTTACTTAAAATGTTCGACAGGCAGTTGAGCATGATATATTTAAACTATATAGATCTGTTTATACAAAATTTGACACTTAAACTCAATGAATTAAGTGAAAGCATTTACCCAGAGGCAAGTGAAGCGGTGGGATCCCCCCCACCATCTGTCCTGTGCAAAGCCAACAGATGAAGCTTGAGGTTCTTCGCCTCTCCTTGTGGCCCATCATGAGACGAGTCCTGAGGACCCACCTGTCCTGTGATCCAGCAACAGGTAAGGCTGTAAGACCCACCTGTCTTATAGCCCACCAGGATATGAAGCTATAGAACCCCCCCCCCCAATCCCTCCTCCCAACTCCTCATTTGTTCCCAGTCTTGATCATCACTCTCACAGGTTGCCACGGGCTGCTTGATCTAACTCTATTGCTTCAAACAGCGCCTTAAAATTGCCTGCGCCAAATCCCTGTAACAAAAAAATTATATATATTAATAATTATGTATCTTTTTATGTGACGGGTTAATTACGAGATATAGTGTTATTTACCTATTTGCTGCTTACTATAATAATAATAATAATAATAATAATAATAATAATAATATCTTTATTTCTACAAGTACAAGTACATGGTATACAGTCCTAGCTGACATCAATGACATACTACTATACAGAAAATCGCTTGTTATACAGAGCATTTCGGGGAAATTAGGTCAGTTTTGTCCCAGGATGCGACCCACGCCAGTCCACTAACACCCAGATATCCATTTTACTAATGGGTGAACATAGACAACCGATGTAAAGAAACACGCCCAATGTCTCTACCCTCACTGGGAATCAAACCCAGACCCTCGCCATGTGAAGCGAAAGCTTTAGCCACCAGGCCACGGGGCATTGTATAATATTAAGAAAACGTTAAACTTCAAGTATCAGCTGTAAAATATTTTCTTTAGATAAAGCAAGTGGCCACTTGGTTGACGGATACCAGCTACTTGCTGAACTGAAAGTTTGAGGCAGATTAATACTATATAATCATAGCTGAACTATAGTCAACCATGTAATAAATTATAAAATTATAGGAATTATTATTATTAAACTTTCCTATAGTAGTGTGTTGATGACATCGATGATTATTGTATTTCATGGAACTCTTGAACCCGTGTGGGTCATCCAGCGAAAGGAGTGGTGGAGGCTTGATCCTCTGTTCACTACAATCTCTGCAGTAAAACCATAAGTTATCTGAAGTGAGAAGACTTACTTGGTGGTTGTGTCGCTGGATGACCTCGAGGAAGACTGTGGGTCGGTCCTGCATGTTCTTGGTGAAGATTTGAAGGAGGTAACCATCGTCGTCGTAGTCTATCAGGATCTTCAGCTTCTGCAGGACCTCCATATCTTCTGTGATCTTCACCTTGGAGGACTTGAGTTTCTCCTGCAGTTGTTCGTAGTAAGTGTCTGGCACACTCAGGAACTCCATCCCTCGCTCACGTAGATTCTCGATCTGGAAGTATGAATATTTAATATGTCCACACCTTTATATTTTGTTCATGTTTAGTAGTTTTTAATGTGATTTCCTGCCTGGGCCATCTTCCTTCTCATAAATTAGTAATAAGGTGCATACAGGTGTCTTCTTGAAGAGTGCTGTCATCTCATGTCCCAGAATATAAGTAGAAAAATGTAATTTTCACTTCTAATTGTGAAGAATTAAATATAAAAAATAGTTTTACTATATGAAAATGTAATTAATGTGAGAAATTATTAATGGTTGATGCCTGAGGGTGATAAGACAATAAAGTATCAATACTTTCACTTTACAAGTAATAAATTATGTAAATAAATATTTGTTAGTAAAGCTGTTATTACCAAATTAAATTTTCAATAAAAATAACAAAGTTAAGAAAAACCATAAATAAGAGGGACAGATGAGACACATTTGAAAATATTCGTGAAACATCAGCTGCTGATAATTATTTGTATGTTAAGTTTTCCTGTGATGAAACATTTGACTTTCCAGTAAGGAAGACATCCCTGGGGTTATTTAATACTGGCTCATTAATAGCCCAGAACAACGATAACTAAAGACGTATGGCTAATATTCACTGAGGGGCTTCCCAAATGAGTGACTCACAGCTGCCTATTTATGTATGAACAGGGGCAGCAGGTGTAACATTACACATGCCCGGGAACTAAACCAAAGCCCACTGATGCCTTCATGTTCTTCTTACCGAGCAAGGATGTCATGACATCGGTCTTACTTCTCTCCATACAACTTGTGTTTTATTACTAACCGCAGAGATAATATTTTGTGTATTGAGAGCGATGTGCTGGACACCTGCGCCTCCATAATAGTCTACATACTCCTGGATCTGACTTTTCTTCCTCCCTGGTGCTGGCTCGTTGATAGGCATCTGTAATACACACACGTAACTACAGCGGGTCGGGGCGGCGTCTTCCAAGCTACCTACATTATTTTTAATAGATGTCTATGCAATATTTTTGAAGACCTTAAATCATACTAAAGAATATTAATCACCTTCCTCAACTACTCCACCCCTGTTAATTACTCTTCCTGACTACTTACCATACATACACACACACACATTATATATATAGGTCGTACCTAATAAGCCAAACTTGTCGAATAGGCTGAACTCCCTTAAAAATTGAACTTTTTGAAAAAATTCTTACAGAAAGATGAATCTTTTCATTGGCACTAATATAAACATTATTATTTTTGGACAAAAACTAACTTAGAAACCTCACCTAACCTTCCTTAAACTACACCAATTTTTTTTAACTGATTTCTAATATATATACACCTACCATCTGACTTACAACCGAATTCAGTTCCAAGAAACCGGTCGTAAGTCGAAATGGTCGCAAGTCGAACTTTACTACTGAATAACAACAAAACATTTTTGTAATGACTTTATTTTATTGTTTTATTTTGGTATTTCATGTTTTACTTTGCTTTTTATGTTGTTAGTACTGTATTTTATACTGTAAGGTTTAGGATAAAAACTGTACAACACAAATACAGTGGACCCCCGCATAACGATCACCTCCGAATGCGACCAATTATGTATATATATATATATATATATTATGTATATATATATATATATATATATATATATATATATATATATATATATATATATATATATATATATATATACTAGTTAATACTGCGATTAGCACGCCTCCTGAGAAGTCCGACAAAATTTCCAGACGCTTCTCTGGAGACGTGCTGAAATATCGGGGGTTTGATTCCCAGCTAGTCGCAGTATTCTTAGTTTGCTTATAACCACTCATTCATGGATGCATTGATATATATTATTATAATGACATTTTTAGGCATGATAATTCTAGTATTGATAACACTTTATTCTGGTAAGAATCTGTCGTTTGAATAACACAAGTCTTTAAGACTTTAGAAAAGATGGAACAATAAATCATCCTATTGAAAATGGGTTGCCTTTAAAAGTTCAAGTGTAAAAAATCTGTCTTGCTGTAGAAAAACCTGTTGAAGCGGTAAGATTCCTACCTTCAGATCCCTATACAACACACTCCTCCAGTTAGTTTAATATATTTATTATGCACCCCATACCTATCCTCAAGATGATTTTTTTTACCCTTCCTATCCTGGTGAAGAGGAGGGTCGTCAGGAAGGTTGAGAGGTGCTCTACTATCCTACCTTGATAGTTTCCTCCCAGTTAGTAACAACTATGGAGCGGAGTGCTGAGTACTCGGTGTGGATCTGTGTGTCGTCCACAGACCAGAAGCGGTGAAACATCAAATGTTTCTCATACCAGGCAGCTGTGCTCTCCATCTCCAAGTTGGGTTGGTTACCTACGATGTGATCCACAAAGTCCAAACGAGGCGCAGGTCTGTAATCAAAGACAGGTAGTAAATATAGAACAACATTCAACTCTATCTTTGTCTAATTGTGAGTTGCTTCTTCTTATATTTATGTACAGAATGTATAAACATGTACGAGTGCTTGAGTGTGCTGATACTTACAACTTGGCAAGAATTTTGTCCTCGGGTATGAGAGGAGGTTTGTAACCAGGGAGAAAGAGACCTTTGTAGTTACTTCTCTCCACGAAGGTGTGAGTCGTGTCTCCGTACTGCAAGATAAACCACGTTAATAAAACTAAGGTAGTTACTGTGGTTATTGCACTCTCTTTGGTAGACTAAACTAGAAGTATAGTTAACGGTGTTAGATAATGAGATGGTATATGTATACCGAAAATTTAGGTAAATGAATATATGTTACCAACGTCTGGATTTTTTTTTTTGTCAGTCCCTGATGTTCCCAGCGAGAGAAAGTTAACTTGCATAAAACATTCAAAGGTTGCAAACGTGTCCATGGGACTTAACTAGTCCAGAAAGATAATTAACAGTGCTTGATTACGGTCACAGACTATCCTAAACAATATGCATTTATTACCGAGGATTAGTTTACAGAAACGTTTTTACAGTTGTATGAGGATGTTCTAGGGAAAGAGTCATTACTGGGATTCCACAAGTAGCAGTACTAGCCCTGCTTATGTTCTTAATTTAATATAAGCAGTACATCTGAAGGAGGTAAATACAACACTACTGAGCATGGCATCCAAAAACCTAAGTAAAAAAAAAAATAATATTAATAAAAATGATTCTACAAGAAGGTTGAAATAAACTGAAGAAATTAATATCGGGATAGGAATTTCTTATAGAAAATTTAAATTAACTGAGGGAAAGTGTAAATAAACTCAATAAATATAATAAAATCTTAACATGTGATAAAGAGAAGGACTCGGGTGGCGAGGCACTTCTTACATTACAATATACAGTAATGCATTAGCTACAGTGTATGTAAATTAGGAGTAATTTAATCCTTATTGAAGGTATTGCATTATCCTTAACTAGTGGTGTGCGATATTCTTGAATGACCATCATGCAGTCAATAGGCCTTAAACATAACTGACCAACCCACCACTAGTGACAATTTTTTTCACTAGTGACAAATTTTTTATACGGTGGGGAAACAAAATAATGAAAGAGGCATACAGTGGGAAGACGTAACGAATTTGTTGTAAACACACGCTAGTGCAGACAGTTTTAGTCAGTGTTTGCTCAACACCTCAAGCAAAGTAAACTAAAAAAGATGGAGTTAGACTGACCGTCTGAACTGTGCCAAAGCGAACTCTGCCTCCATCGTCCTCTTCCTCCCAGATCTCCCTCACCACCTTGGCTCCACGCTCCTTAGCTCTCTGCAATATATAATATTATAGTTACATAGACCTGTGTGCAGAGTGAGAGAACCATATTTATGAAACATTAAGGAATCAGCAGGAACGGAAGAAAGGGAGGAACTCAAAGACAAACAGTAACATGAAGGATGACTAAGAAAGGAAGAAGTAACAAGAAAAAAGAAGTAGCAGCAACAAAAAGGAAAAGGATGGAAGGTATGGAAAATTTTGTAGGGTGTTACCTGTATGTACCTCAACATTACATGCATACAAGTAATCTCATTGGAAGACAACCATATTGTTTACCGTAGTCACCCCGTGTAGACATGTGAGAAAACTTAACCACCCCTGGTCACGGCAGGTGGTCCCTTCGACCTCACAATCTCATCCATATCTATCCGGGACCAGTATAGATTGGATAGCACCCACAAGTACGGTGCTACTAATTAATTGTGGACTGTATAGATTATATTAGTTTAACTGAATGAAGGGGGGGGGGGAGGTTGCACTTGGATATATCCATCAAGGAAAAACACTTGTACATAATCCCACCACTTACCAGATATTCTCTGGTGGTCACTTGATGTAGCTGGATCACTCATAACCTATCCAATTACAACATACCTAACTGGCCAGTATCAGTCTGCTATAACTAGAAGGGTTACTTAACTGTGGGCGATTGATACTCCTATTTCCTCCATTCACCATCTCATTTCGATGTCCTGCTACACCGACACAGTTCTTATTCCAACAGGACGAGGTATTTGTTGGTTTATCCCGGTTTAGAAGTCGTAACTCCATAAAACCTTCACTATCCTCGAGACAAGGAACACGAGATAAACCGATGCTCACTCTGAGAACGGCGACTCATTTCACTTCACATATTCTCTTAACTTAGTGTTATTATCACTGATTACATTACAATCCACAAGACGATTTAATGTCTCATAATTATTATACACATTAGAGGTCACTCCATTAAGATCTGAGACCGATGAGTAAGGAGTAACTCACGGGTATTTCCCCTGGACACACACCATGGCCGCGCACCAGTCACCCCCGGTCGAACCATTATTCACTAATTTTACCACCTTTTTACGGTGGTCCCATAAATCACGTTCCCTCACTCTTCACCAGGAATAGTTACGACACTTCCTATTATGAAGTGAGGCCTATATTAATCCTTAGGCCGCCGCGAACGCCAATTTCCTGGTCCCATGTTTTCACAGCCTCCTCACTACATTCAAAACACTCCCGCCTCTCTCTGCCCTGACTCGACCTCCCCCCCCCCCCCCCCGCACATCCTCGCAGGCGCAGGGCGAACCCGGTTGGTTCTATTCAAAATACAATTTAGAACAACAGTAATGCATTAATCATGTATATTTACATTATAAAAATATATACAGTATAATTATGGGAATTTATTTTCCCATAGAAGGAACAAGAGAAAACTACCCCCAGGAAAGAGGGGGAAGGAACAAGAAAATAGCAGCAAGAGGAAGGCAGAAAAAGAAGATTAACAAGAGGAAGGAGAACGAAGAATAGCAAGAGAGGGGGAAGGGGTAAGTAGGAAGAAGAAGAGATTGTGGTAGTAAAGAGGATGGTCTGACCTTCATAATGGCGTCAAGATCATGAACGTTGAAGGCAATATCCTTGACACCGTCACCATGAGTGACCAGGTGACGACCCATCTCCTGGTTGCACGGGTTCAGAGCACTGGCGAACACGAACACTATCTGTCCACAACATCACCATTACTAACATAATAACCATAATAAATTCCACTTAAACACCAGCAATGACCTTATCGGTAACACCTAAACTCTTAGCAGTTAGCAATAAGCTAAGTAACAAACAGCTCAAATACTGTTGTTAATTATTATAAAATTATGTATCAAGAAACATCATATGCACACAATACCAGGTGTACATAACAGGTACCTTGTTCTGTTTGACTACATGGCAGCAGACTTCACGCGAGCCGGTCTCCAGACCCTTGTAGGCATAAGGCTCAAACCCCAGCCTGGTGGTGTAGTAGCTGGCTGCCTGTGGGTGAGCAAGAAAAGGTTAGTAGCCAAAATGTGTTCCTGCAACCCACACCGACACTTCCTACGTATCTAGTTCGTTATATGTCCCTTTCTGTCATCTCGCAGGAACTTACTCATAAAGGGAATAAGGTAGCCGCACACTGCGCTTATGTATAATATTCTATATGACAATGAAGAAATTCACTTCCCTTTACTCTCGTTGTTATGTACCTGTCTATTATTTCATAATATATTCCCAGTTTTACTTGCTTTAATCTATCTTTTCATCACGTCTCTTCTCTGAAGTACTAAGAACAGATGACACAACTTACCTTCTGCAACATACACATAATATTATGTAATGTATGGCACACAAACACATTGCTGCCAGGCACACACACACACGACTGCCAGGCACACACACGACTGCCAGGCACACACACGACTGCCAGGCACACACACGACTGCCAGGCACACACACACACGACTGCCAGGCACACACACGACTGCCAGGCACACACACGACTGCCAGGCACACACACGACTGCCAGGCACACACACACACGACTGCCAGGCACACACACGACTGCCAGGCACACACACACACGACTGCTAGGCACACACACACTCACGACTGCCAGGCACACACACACACGACTGCCAGGCACACACACACACGACTGCCAGGCACACACACACACACGACTGCCAGGCACACACACGACTGCCAGGCACACACACACACGACTGCCAGGCACACACACGACTGCCAGGCACACACATACACACGACTGCCAGGCACACACACACACACGACTGCCAGGCACACACACACACACGACTGCCAGGCACACACACACACACACACGACTGCCAGGCACACACACACACACACGACTGCCAGGCACACACACACACACGACTGCCAGGCACACACACACACACGACTGCCAGGCACACACACACACACGACTGCCAGGCACACACACACACACGACTGCCAGGCACACACACACACACGACTGCCAGGCACACACACACACACGACTGCCAGGCACACACACACACACGACTGCCAGGCACACACACACACACGACTGCCAGGCACACACACACACACGACTGCCAGGCACACACACACACACGACTGCCAGGCACACACACACACACGACTGCCAGGCACACACACACACAACGACTGCCAGGCACACACACACACACATGACTGCCAGGCACACACACACACACGACTGCCAGGCACACACACACACACGACTGCCAGGCACACACACACACGGCTGCCAGGCACACACACACACGACTGCCAGGCGCACACACACACACGGCTGCCAGGCACACACACACGGCTGCCAGGCACACACACACACGACTACCAGGCACACACACACACACGGCTGCCAGACACACACACACACATGACTGCCAGGCATACACACACATGACTGCCAGGCACACACACACACACGACTGCCAGGCACACACACACACTCGACTGCCAGGCACACACACACACACGACTGCCAGGCACACACACACACACACACACACACACGGCTGCCAGGCACACACACACGGCTGCAGGGCACACACACACACGACTACCAGGCACACACACACACGGCTGCCAGGCACACACACACACATGACTGCCAGGCATACACACACATGACTGCCAGGCACACACACACGACTGCCAGGCACACACACACACGACTGCCAGGCACACACACACGGCTGCCAGGCACACACACACACACACACACACACGACTGCCAGGCACACACACACACACACGACTGCCAGGCATACACACACACGACTACCAGGCACACACACACACGGCTGCCAGGCACACACACACACAACTGCCAGGCACACACACACACACGCGGCTGCCAGGCACACACACACGGCTGCCAGGCACACACACACACGACTACCAGGCACACACACACACACGGCTGCCAGACACACACACACACATGACTGCCAGGCATACACACACATGACTGCCAGGCACACACACACACACGACTGCCAGGCACACACACACACTCGACTGCCAGGCACACACACACACACGACTGCCAGGCACACACACACACACACACACACACGGCTGCCAGGCACACACACACGGCTGCAGGGCACACACACACACGACTACCAGGCACACACACACACGGCTGCCAGGCACACACACACACACATGACTGCCAGGCATACACACACATGACTGCCAGGCACACACACACGACTGCCAGGCACACACACACACGACTGCCAGGCACACACACACGGCTGCCAGGCACACACACACACACACACACACGACTGCCAGGCACACACACACACACACGACTGCCAGGCACACACGACTGCCAGGCATACACACACACGACTACCAGGCACACACACACACGGCTGCCAGGCACACACACACACAACTGCCAGGCACACACACACACACACGCGGCTGCCAGGCCACACACACACGGCTGCCAGGCACACACACACACGACTACCAGGCACATACACACACGGCTGCCAGGCACACACACACACACGACTGGCAGGCATACACATGACTGCCAGGCACACACACACACACACACACACACACGACTGCCAGGCACACACACACACGACTGCCAGGCACTCACACACACACGGCTGCCAGGCACACACACACACACGACTACCAGGCACACACACACACGGCTGCCAGGCACACACACACACGACTGCCAGGCAACACACACACACACACACACGGCTGCCAGGCACACACACACACACGACTACCAGGCACACACACACACGGCTGCCAGGCACACACACAATACACGACTGCCAGGCATACACACATGACTGCCAGGCACACACACACACACACACACACTGCTCATTAAAAACCAGTGGGGTTTTGAGAAAATGGAAGGAATGGATGGCATGGGCGAAAGGGACTACTTAGTAGGAACAATCCAGTCTGAGGGACATAAGGTGATAATTGCAGTAATGTACAACCCACCACAGAACTGCAGGAGGCCAAGAGAAGAATACGATGAGAGCAACAGAGCAATGATCAACACAATAGCCGAGGTGGCCAGGAGAGCACACATGGGGGGAGCAAAGTTACTAGTTATGGGTGATTTCAATCACAAGAAGATTGACTGGGAAAACCTGGAGCCCCATGGGGTCCCGAAACATGGAGAGCCAAGAGATGGATGTGGTACTGGAGAACCTCATGCATCAACATGTTAGAGACACTACCAGAGAGAGAGGAGAGGATGAACCAGCAAGGTTGGACCTTGTATTCACCATGAGTAGTTCCGGACATCGAGGTATCATGTATGAAAGGCCCCTGGGAGCTAGTGATCATGTGGTTTCTGTGCTTCGACTACATAGTTGAGTTCCAAGTGGAGAGAGTAGCAGGAATAGGCTGGGAAAAACCAAACTACAAAATGGGGAACTACTCAGGCATGAGGAACTTTCTTCAAGACATTCAGTGGGAGAGGGAACTGACAAAAAACCAGTACAAGAAATGATGGACTATGTAGCAACAAAATGCAAGGAGGCAGAGGAGAGGTTTGTTCCCAAGGAAACAGAAATAATGGGAAGAACAGAACGAGTCCTTGGTTCACCCAAAGGTTGTAGGGAGGCAAAAACTAGGTGTACTAGAGAAGGGAAAAGGTACAGAAGACAGAGAACTCAGGAAAATAAAGAAATCAGCCGAAAGAGCCAGAAACGAATATGCACAGATAAGAAGGGAGGCTCAGAGACAATATGAAAATGACAAGCGTCAAAAGTAAAGACTGACCCGAAGCGTTGAAACAGCCACATCAGGAGGAAAACAACAGTCAAGGACCAGGTAATCAGACTGGGGAAAGGGGTGATGGGGAATTCACAAGAAACGACCGAGAGGTAATGTCAGGAGCTCAACACAAGATTTAAAGAGGTATTTACAGTGGAAACCAGTAGGACTCCAAGAAATCAGAACGGGGGGGCACACCAGCAAGTGCTGGATGAGGTACATATAACCAAGGAGGAGGTGAAGAAGCTGCTATGCGAACTTGACACCTCAAAGGCGGTGGGACCAGACAACATCTCTCCATGGGTCCTTAAAGAGGGAGCAGAGATATTGTGTGAGCCATTAACAAGATCTTCAACACATCATTTAAAACTGGGCAACTCCCTGAGGTATGGAAAATGGCAAATGTATTTCCCAATTTTTAAAAAGGGAGACAGACATGAGGCACTAAACTACAGACCTGTATCACTAACGTGAAATAGTATGCAAGGTCATGGAGAAGATCATCAGGAGGAGAGTGGTGGGGCACCTGGAAAGAAACAAGTGTATAATTGACAACCAGCACGGTTTCAGGGAAGGAAAATCCGTGTCACAAACCTACTAGAGTTTTATGACAAGGTGACAGAAGTAAAACAAGAGAGAGAGGGGGGGGATCGACTGCGTATTTTTGGATGCAAGAAGCCTTCGACACAGTTCCCCACAAAAAGGTTACTGCAAAAGCTAGAGGACCAGGCCACATAACAGGAAAGGCACTGCAATGGATCAGAGAATATCTGACAGGGAGGCAACAACGAGTCATGGTACGCGACGAGGTGTCAGAGTGGGCGCCTGTGACAAGCGGGGTTCCACCCGGGGTCGTCCTAGGAAACCCGTGCTGTTCTTGGTATACGTGAACGACATAACGGAAGGGGTAGACTCAGAAGTGTCCTTGTTTGCAGACGATGTGAAGTTAATGAGAAGAATCGAATCGGACCCAGGATCAGGCAGGACTACAAAGAGATCTGGACAGGCTACAAGCCTGGTCCAGCAACTGGGTCCTTGAATTTAACCCTGCCAAATGCAAAGTCATGAAGATTGGGGAAGGGCAAAGAAGACCGCAAACAAATATAGTTTAGATGGCCAAAGACTGCAAACCTCACTCAAGGAAAAAGATCTGGGGGTGAGTATAACACCGAGCATATCTCCTG